TGCGAGCTTACCTTTATTGCCCCGGGGAAAGGCGAAATTGTCTGGATGACAGCTCTTTTTTTTCTCATCATGGATACAATTCGTGTTATTGTCGATGCAAATGTTTCGAGATCCTGAATGTCATTCCATATGTCAAGCAGGAGCTTATCAGACGTATATCAGGTGAAAAACTCAGGAATATATTTCACATTCATGCGGTCATCGTTCTTGATCTTATCTCGTAAAACGACCCCATTCTGGAACTTCCCTCAATGGTTCAGAGCTGTCTCCTCAGTTTTTGAATATCTTAAAATTGTTTACATATCTGTCAGGTGATAAAAATCAGTTCTCTCAGTTTGTCTTGGTGCGGTTCCGGGGCCAGCCCCGGTAACAGTAGGAGAGGATACTCATTTTTCGAAAAACCGCATCGCGTTAAACCTTCGAAGTGACTTCCCTTTTTTCAGGGCGTACACACGGTATTAAGTATGACTCTTTTCTGCTTCCACACTTAACTGTTGTGTTTGTACGTCTATCTGAGGGGTGGGTCTCCGAATTTCATGTTATGGTTGACTGTGACACGTTGCAGGCACGAGAGACCCGATATCCTGTACTTGTGTTGGTCTTGTTAGCGCTTCCATGCCGCTCTACGGTCTTGTTTAGCTCTCACATCAGTATCTTATCAGACGGATATTACAGTCGATCTTAACACTATCCTCATTCAGAAAGCTTCAATTCACGGTTCGAGATACGAAACTTCTTTTTTTTTATAGCTTAGGGAAGAGGAATGTTTGCTCCCATTCCTTTTGTCTTATAGAAATAGAGCGGTAGCAAGAGAAGGAAAAACTTCATCTGATCGCTGCTCGGGTTGTCCTTTCATAAGACCATCTAACCAATACCAAATCGCTCTATAGAGGTGCCATTATCCAAAAAATATTCGGTAGTGTTTGGGTAAAATTTTAGGCTTTCTCTTGGTCTGGATTACTTGACATCCGAGGCCCCCTCCACCGTCTCTGCCTCGCGATGCGATTAACCGTAGGAAAAGCATATCAAAGCTTAAAACAATATCAGATTACCGTAAGATATCCCATGTCTGACAATGAAGTCAAAGACCTTTGGGTGGAGGAACAGAGTGCCTATTATTCCAGTGGTTTTCAGATTTCCAGACAATTTGGATAAGGTAAAGGTAGGCTTTTAAGGACTAACTGACTTTCCTGGGGGCAATTGGGACGATAACACACATGCAGACGAGGCCTCAACATGTTCAAGGAAGTTGGAAGAAGGAAACGCCTTAATCACTGTGGAATAGTTGAGTGATGTGCTCAATGCCATGCTGAAACAGGATGTTGGATACAGGCTCCTTTTTAAAATTTGAAGCTGGGTATCGGTTTTAATAATATTCGAGGAAAATTGCGAGCCTCGGAGTTTGGTAATTCCCAATTAAAGTAATTTCGAAATGACCGTCGGTGGGAGCTTGCATCTCTGAAGTCTATGTCGCCGACTTGTTCGAGAAAATAATCGAATTTGATTTATTGGGGTGCATGCCTGAGATTTATGTGGGTATCGGATCAACCTTCGGATGTTTAGCATAAATCAGCATAATCCATCAGTCTGGTGCATGCATCAACTTGTATGCATCATGCATCAACCAACGTTGACTGCCGCATTTATATTATTCAAATTAAAAGACTTAAGATAAAGTTTTTCTCTGCTTTTTTAAAAATACTTTTAACTATCGTCCCCACTTTGCAAATGATGAGGGACACCAAACTCTGAGGAGCTGCATTCCATTTCTGCTTAGTAAGTATCGTCAGAAATCCCCAAAGCCCTTAGAACGAAGATGCTTCCATTAGTTCTACTCTGTCGCGAATCCTGTATTTTTCAGGTTGGCAGCTTTTTTAACGGTAAAAATTCACGTTCTCGTAAGCATTTAAGGCAGGGCTTCCCAAACTTTTTTGCTCGCGACCCGGAAAATCACCATCATACCATTCAGGATCCCAAGCACTAGCTGAAGTACGACAGGCTCTCCCACCTCTGCAAAAAATCGCAAAGGAATACATAACTTGGCATATAGTTGCCGGTTCGGGTCCCCAAATCGGGTCGCGACCCATGGGTCGGGAAGCCCTGATGTAAGGCTTTGTACCAGGATGTGCATAATTGCGGGTTTCTCTTGTGAAGTACATTCGAACGATTGACACTTTCATGTTTAAAAGACGAAGAATCAACTATATCTGAAGCTTGGGAACGCTGCGTCTTCTGCCAGAAGTGACACAGGATACGGACGCCTGAGATGTACGTTGTACCATCCGCATAATGACAATATGGAATTATCTTTTCCTCACGAAACCCATTAACTGGATTAGGGCGTCTTCCTTTGAAAGAGCCGACATTTCGCATTTGACAAAGTAGGTTCCATTATTCTCATGGAGGTTGGTATGGGTCCCCTTCGTACCTCCCATGAGTCCCCGTACGCTTTTCCTGATTGGATTTTCCACAAAGTTCAGTGTATGAAAAAAATTCTCGGTAGAGGTAAGGTAATGGTGCTAGAGGTTTCTGCTGTGTCCGTTTGAGAATGTTCGCGATAAATATTAGCTCCTTGAGGTGGAGTCTTTGGGCGCCCACGCACCGGATGCGAAGCGACGCTATGCCACGTGGCGCTGTGCTAACTTGCACACCAAAAGCAGCCTGTGAAGGACAGGTTTTCTTGGCAAGGTGGTCTTTGACTTTCCAGGAAATTTCCGTTTGAGTGGCAGGGAAGGAGCAGGACCATTTCTGAAAGAAGACTCGTTGCGATGCATTCATCCTTATTGGAAAGCGAAAAGTATTACGTGAATCAGTCTCTTCCAAATACCCACGGTTCTCATGAGTGAGAGAAGGAAGCAGAATGCTTCTACTAAATCGTCGTGTTTCTGACGTGATCGCGTGTCTGTGGACACACGAAACTCCCAACCACAGAGAGAAGGTACCTTTGCTTTCCGGTAGAAAGTTTGCGTCGGAATAAGTCCCTTCGGGCTTGTGGAATATAAAAGGTTCCATCTAGGCCCTTCCTCTTGTTCCTCGGTCGATATGTAAGTTAATAAAGGAAGGAAGGATCTTCTTTCTGCTCTTTCCACGACTTCTCTCTGCGACGACGAAGGTTCACTAGTGATCCATGTTGAAATTGGGACCAGTGCAGTCGAGCCTGTGGCACGAAATGATGTCATTCTCTATGACTTAATGCTTTTATGTCACACATCGAGTTAGTCCTAGTTGGGAATGGGAAGAGGAAGGGAGGGAGAAACAAGATGAAGCACGGGAAGCCTTTAGCATAATTGCCTCTGTCTTTTTTCTTCTTTCTCCTGTTCCACATTGCCCTTCATATTTATCCATTAGTCACTTCCTTTTTTTTCTCTCTCTCCTGCTTCGTTTCTCCTATGGTTTACCCTTGACCTAGTACAAAGTTTCCTGCATTTCATCCTGCCGTAAATTGTTTCGCTCTTGTTTTCTCTTCCATTCTTAAGTGGAGGGAAATTGCGGGACTTTGCATGAGATGAGAGAGGAAAGATCGCCTTGGTTCCATTTGGCTAATGAAATGAGATTTTCCAGGCGACACAATTGCTTTTCCATTCCCCAGGGATTGAGAAGGTAATGCAGGCAGACCGTTTCATGTGCACCCGACATGCCAATGGCTTTATAGCAACGATGCCTCCACGCTCTCGAGTCTCTCGTCGTTCGTTTCCTCTTGATGAATTTTTTCGCATTATTCCATTGTTTCTTCCAATGCTCTGTCTTTCTCGCTTTCCGTCGTTCGACTGTCAAGAAGATCTTAGGACGAGGGGAAAGCTGGATTATGAATTCCGATGCGAAAATGATGAAATGCTGGATTCTCACGCAGAGACAGCTGTAGCTTAGTTCAGAGGGACGCCCGAAACTTGTCTTATCCGTACAGGCTAGAAAAACTCATTCCTTTTATCATGGATGGGATGGACAAAGACCAGCGTCCGAATGACAGTCTGTCTGCCCTTTCCCAGAGAATCTCTGTTTGGGATCAGGTCTTTCCATTAATGTCCGACGGATATTGGCAGCACGGGTCTCTCGGCCTGCTATCAGAGGATGCCCTCCAAGAGGATAAAAAGAAAATCCTCTACGTCTCGAACCCGAAGTACGAGGAAGCTTTCGATAAGACTGCTTTATATGCGCACAAATTTTTCTTCTTGAGAAAAGAATCAACCCTTCCAAGAATCGACCAACTGTATTGGGAGCAAATATATATTATCGTAGTTGAATGCCTCTCGTGAAAGCTATCATATCTCTTTCCTTTTTTTCTTCGTTTTGCTAGATTCTGTTGTAAGAAAAAAAGAAGCTAATAGTGGTGCGTCGTTGTGAGCGAGTTGGAAAGTTTGAGTTCCCGTTGGCATTGAATGTTATTCAATGCCAAAGGTTCAGGTTCAGCATATATCGTAAAAACATGAAGTCATCGTAATGCTCTATAAATTACGCATTATTTTTCGAGAGGAAAAGGTCACGGGGGAAATGAGAAACATCTTCATGTACATCGAAGCCTGACAGCATTAGAAAGGATCTTATCTTATCAATATATACCTTCATGAAAGAAAAAAAGAACCCTAGAGAGACGAATATTCATTTTTGTTTGATGCATGAGATGAAAGAGGAATGGATTTTGTTTTCGACTCAAGGGGAGAAACAAATATACTCTCCTTATTTACAATACTGAATTTGCCGATACCTACGGTAGCACAGCACCAAAAAATTTGGAATTCTCCAAATTTCGCAGATGGAAACGGCCTCTTGAATCGTAGCAGTCGAATGACTGGGAACGCAGCATTTTGCTCTGCTATCGTAAAACTGCTACCTGTCCGTGAAATTGAATTCGATTCAACAAATTTTAATAGAAAATGAAGAGCTGTCCTGATTTGAATGCAAAATGCTCATTTTCATTTACTTGGAAAAGGCAAGCGACTTTGAATTATTGACTTTTTTAAGGTCACCCTAATGATGCAATAAAGGGAGAAATCTGATAAAGGATGTTGATGTGAATTCTATGTAAACAGGGAGAAGAGGAGAGCTCAGCCAGAGATCGTCTTCAGCAGGAATTACGAAGAGCTGCCAGCTTGGTTGCTTGGGGGCCTGGATGAGGTGGTATTTGCAGCGAGCACTGGACCCGATGGTGGGCTGACGGCCATCAAGCACCGACCCATGCATCTCACCACCAACGAGCCCGATGTGGAATTCATCGACGAAGACGAGGACCACTCGCAGCAGAGTCCCTGTCGGCGGGCCTCCCTCTCTACAAAATCCAGGTTTGCAGGCTTTCTCATGCAGTTTCACGGATTCTTGTAGCAAAAGGGATGCCGAGGAAGAAATTCACTTATAGCTAAAGGAAATCACACGTAATAACACAGAATATTGGTCCAATATCGATCAAATGTGCTATGCTGCTGGAGACCCCTCCCCATTCATTGACTGAGAGTTTTACTGCTATCTTCACGAGTGGGTTCTTGTTTGATTCCAGAGGGTAAACAGGTGGTAAACAGGCTCTTCTTTTGTAGGACCAATGGCCATGTATCGAAGTCAAGCAATCCCTCTCTCCAACTCATACCCATCGCTAACGGAGACAACCCACAAGTACCTGATTTGGAAGGAAATAGGACTTGTCCAGACCATCTTGAACCTCCGTCTCGGTCTCATCCTGGAGATGGCGGAACTCCTTCTCCTTCCCCTATTCCGGAGTCTCCCCGAAGTCCCGGTGCTGTTCTTGGGAGCACTCACTTCGGTACCTGTGTCTCAGAACTTAGTTGCAGCCCTGAGGCATCTGAAGTGGAGGCTTCCAGCTGTCTCAATGAGATCTCAGAATGGAACAATAATCATGAAAATCCGAGTATGTTATGTTCTACATCTGCTATGATTATAATTATTGCATTAAGGGAAATATTTAAAGAAATGTTTGTTGGTTGAATGAGGAGTTGCACCACTCAAGCCTTAATATCTTTCTATTTCTTTGTGGTATTTGTCATTTGATTCACTGGTTGGGAAGACCTGTGATGTCACTTACTCCTTGCTTAATATCAGGAAATTGTTGCTAGAACGCAATACTGGATTGAGATCAACCTTGACAGAGTGTCAGACTCAAGTTTGTCTTCACAAAGAAAGTGTAAGCTGAGTTATCCCGATAAAGAGGCAAATTTTTTTTTATTATGCTACATATGGTCCCAAGTCCCTGGGTCCTTGATGATGACAACTTTGAGAATGTAGCTGCTAGGAAGGGTTAATCATCTGTTTAAAATGTTTATGCCTGTGTAAAAAGTATGCCTACTGCACAAAGAGCTTTATCTGTATTTCCTTGGACCACAGTATACTCTGGTGCAAGAATTTCACATCTCCTAAGACTTTCTGAGAATTTACAGACTGGATTGATTTTGCCTGCAAAATCAAGTTCCAACCACCACAAATGAATGAAACTGTATTGTTGCCATACAGGAACACACTTAGATTTGTTACTTTTGAAATACTTATAACTTGTTTGTTAGACCAAAGTACTTTTTAGCATAAGTACTCAGAGTACACCCTCTCCAGGTGTGATTTAGTCCGTGTTAAAAAAAAAAGCGCCATTGACTACAGGCATGACTAGGAGCTAAACTGGTCAATCTGGTCATCAGTACACTATTCCTCAGAGAAGTTAGAAGCTTGGTGCTATTATGATATACATGTAATGTATATCATAATAGCAACAAACCTTGTGATTTCTCATAGGATTGAATTTTGGTAGACTTAGAGCTCGGGTCTATGATCAAGACAGACAAATCAAAGTGAGGATTTGATGCAAACATATATATTTTATACAAACAAATAATGCAAACTTTATAGATCTCTAAGGGCTGTGTTGAAACCAGTGTGTGTGATGGGCTGGAACTGCCAAAAAGTGTAATTTTACTGGAGTCCAAAAATGTCCCTCATTCAATGTAATAGCACAGTCACAATTAATTTATATAATTTGGACCACTTCAATGCAGAACCACCAAACTTTTTTATTCATGGATGGTTAATGAGAATGAAACCCAGCTGGACCGCTGGGACCAGTCATTGCAGTGGAGGCACAAGGACTCTGCCACCCAGAAAGTTTTGAACCCAAGCTTCTCCTGGTAAAGTTATGGTGACAATTTTATGGGACAGTCATTCACATTGGCTTTTATCCCCTCAAACTGTATGATCACAGACTTAGCACTCCACTGCATTATTGGTGTTGGCACGAACCTGTTGAGAACAAGCACCAAGGAAAGTTAAGGAAAGAGGTCCTCGTTTTGTTAGATAATGCACCAGCTCACACAGCTGTTGTTTCACAAGTTCCCTCCATGACATTAGTATTTGCCATGCTCACCTTTCACTCAACCTGGCACCCTTAGCCCCTTGCAATTTAAAGATTTTGACACCTGAAGGAACACCTTTGTGGGAATAGATTTTAGGACAACAATGTGGTTAAGCAGGTAACTGATTGATTATTCAAAAAATTTCAAAAGAGTAATTTAAGAGAGGTATAGAGATGCTAAAGGAACTTTGGGAAAAGTGCATTGTTGTTAGGAGTGATTGTTATGTTGAAGAATCAATATGATCTTATTGCACACATCATCACAATATGGTCTAGCCAAGAACTTTCTGAGCACCCCTTGTACAATTCGCCCTAGGAACCATATTGTGTCTCACTGATTTCAACTGCCAGTGTTATGGTCTCATGGATGACAAAGAGCAATTTCCATGATGCCCCCTTGTGCTGTCATAGTGAATCTTCTAGATGAAACACCTTCTGGTTGGGTCATGCTGGGACATGCTGGTTATGTTTATTCAGCGAATGAACTAGCATGTCTAATATTTTCGTTTTATTAATTTATTTTTTGCAATTTAGCTACAAGATGCATGTAATGGGATACATTGTCATTTCCTTTTGTTTGAAGCATTTGATTGATATTTGCAGGTGAGAGTGCACCAGAACTAACTGCTGGGATCCAAGGCTGGAACCGACCTCACCCATTTGCTTATGGTGTATCCACCACACTTTATGAGAAGAACCCGGTGACTAGAATCAATGCAGGTCAGCTTAATTCCAACTTGATCAAGAAATCTTAGTATCCATCACAGATTTTCTTGATGTATATTGTGAGAGTTGCTTTCAAAATGTGACTGGTTACAGTTACTAGACACTGGGAAAAACTGGTCAAGTCACCAGTGGAACTATTGAAGAAAAATGTAATTCATTATATTATTTTCATAACCAGTGGTGTCCACAAAGTCCCCTGCCTGTTGACTGCCCTAGCCCTAAATTCCTTCATCCTCCACAATAATGACTTGCAAATTCCAAAGGTAACGATGACTTTCAGTCTCCAGATGAATGATATGCCATCAATGGTGAGAGTAATTCTTAAGATTTCTGCAGAAAAAAACCTCAGTGTTTGTCACTTCATCAGATATGACTAGAAAAGTGTTAGCTGTAATGCCATTGGACGTATGAATATTGAGTTAACACCTTAACACAATGATGCCCAGATGTATGAAGTGTGCACAATCCCTGTTGCCCAGCCATTTGAAAAGCAAGCTGCATCAAATCATAATATTATGGTTCTGGGCAGTGGGGCATGGTTAAGTAAAATGTAATATTATGGTTCCGGGCAGTGGGGCATGGTTAAGTAAAATGTAATATTATGGTTCCGGGCAGTGGGGCATGGTTAAGTAAAATGTAATATTATGGTTCCTGGCAGTGGGGCATGGTTAAGTAAAATGTAATATTATGGTTCCCAGCATCAATGTGCTAAGATGGTATTTCTTCAAATCAAATTGAGTTATGTGTTTAGTCAGAGTCAGATGAAAATATGTTTTCCAGAATCATTCATTATACAGGGTTGTGCCAAAAAAAATAAACCCATATTATAAATAACTTTATTAATTGTCAAACTGCACAACTTGATATTACATGCCAATAAATAGCTAACTTCATGCGTCAAGCGATGCTCAAAGTAGTCACCCTTCTCCTTCAAGCATGCTCACAAGCAAAATTGCCATAGATTATTGGCATCATTGATGGATTTCTGCAACAGATGCTGCCATTTCTGCAGAAGCACAGATTATGTGAGGGAGGTCTTGAAATTTGCTTGTATGCCATCTGTTGCAAGTCTCCCCTGATTCAATAATTGACTGGGTTGAGATCAGGCAAGTTAACTGGCCACAGATCAGGTTCAATCAGTTATAGCACCTCCCTCTACAGGAACTGGGTTGTCTCCCTGGCACAGTGTGCATGTGCACCATTCTGCTGAAATACAAAGTGCCCTGTGAACTTTTGTCTGATATCTACCTTACTAGTGCATGGAATACCACTGGGTATTTATATATATGGTAGTCCATAGGAAACAAAATCATTAAAATTTTTGTGTCTCCTTCATATTTCTAAAAGGATGTCAAGTTGGGAGCATTTTCTTGGGGTCATGCAGTTTACTTGGGGGCTATCAAGTCCATACTGGTATCCAGAGCAGTGTAGCTTGCAAAGTATAGATTTCCTGCAACTCTTATGGCTCATTGTGAGCTGTTAGTGATGTAGTCCAATATAGGTAATCCAAATTACCACTGTATCTGCTGGCAGGTCTGAGGCTGTAGTTACCAGTCATTTTTCAGTCATTGAGCTAATTTCCTGAATTATCTTCTCTGATGACCTGGTTGTCTTATGACTTGGAATCAAAGTAGCCATATTATACATGAGTTGATTATATGTTCCACAGCAGATGTAGTATTTTCTCCATTAAATGCCCTTTCCTGCAGCACAAATGAACTGTTTGCATTTGAATGCAACACCAAAGCTTGAGAATACATCCAAACTGTTATTAGCATCTGTATTTTTCACAATTTCAACCAAAATGCAGGTAAAAGCATGAAAATTATGACCCTTTAATTATCTGGGATAATTGCAGCTTTGTTCTTGTTTATGAATGATGCATCACAATGACAGTCATGTAAGTACTCAGTTACTCAATAACATTGAAAATTACTGGTATATTCACAGGGAACCCAATTGCAGATTCATATGCAATAGTGGCTCGAAAGAATAATGCCATCATGGCGCTAGCTGATGGTGTGAATTGGGGGGAGAAGCCAAGCCTTGCAGCCAAATGTGCAGTTCATGGTTGCATTGACTACCTCAACAAGGCCCTCTTTCCCCTTCGGGGTGCCCCACTCACAACCAAGGTACTGTTGGCACACTTCATGAATTGCATGAGTCACATCATCAATTGCAATGGAAACTGAATTGCAAATCCCTCCCTTTAGACTCTACATTATGGTTTGTGGTTTTTGCTTTTAATCCTCACTGAATTTGGAGAGGAGTAAGTTATTTGGATCATTCAGTAGAGGTTGAATCTCTGCTCATTTTCTCAGGTTTTGATTATTTTATTTCTTTGAAAATTTGAGTTGCCATTGCTGGTACTCTAATAGTATTTGTTTGAATCAGTTATTGCAGTAGTAGCCAGCATCCTCAGAATAGAAAATCAATTGGATCTTGCAGAAGATGGAGATTATTGGGGTGTATGATTTAGAATGGGTAGCCATCCTCCTTGGACTGTTCATTAGCCACCCTCCTATAGAGGAACAGGAAATGATACAGCCTTGGAAAGATGCTCTGATATTGGTTGCATGCAGAAGCATGGTAGAATCTTTAAAAAAAAGCTTGATTCTATCTGTAACATTTTGTTCTCAACAGGATATCTTTTTGGCTCTCATGCGGAGCATGTGTGCTGCACATCAGCTAATCCTCCTGGAGGAAGGAGATGTAACAACACTCACAGTTGCTGTCATCGTCCCCATGATCCTGCCCAACAAATATGCTGTCTGCATCTGCAATGTTGGCGATAGCCTCGCTTATGTGTACAACCGTCAGACAGGCGTCAGAGAAATCACTTATGGTATGCTCACCCTGAAGGCCAAGAGGGGTTTTGAATATTATGTTCTGAATTGCAGCCATCAGAATCCCTTATCTGTAAAGTTTTATTCAGTTGAATTAGATTCTAGCATTTTGAATCATTTGACAGATTCATCCTTGCTACAAAGACTGCCAGTTCCATACCACTTATATTCTTTTTTAAAGTATGGTTTGCATAAGAAAACAGTATGTCAGAGTATTTGTTTAATCTCATACATATCATATGTACAATGACAACATGGTGCAAGAGGCAGAAGGTCCATGAATATGTCTTTACTCTGAAATCCTAGCAACCCCCCCATGCAACCTTATCTAAAACCCAAGTAACTTGTAACCTTCATCATATATCAATTAGTGTTCTCTTTTGTAGGATCTCATGACATCAACTCTATGCGGAACATGAGAGATGCCCTTGGTGCCTTGGGACCAGTTGATGGGATCTCGGCTCCTGTGCTCAACAACTTGACCTGCTCCATGACCCAAGTGGAGCCGGGTGACATCGTCTTTCTTACCTCAGATGGAGTGTCTGACAACTGTGACCCTGTGGTTGGGAAGTTTGCTCTCCCTAAGGAGGTTAAGAAGAAGTCAGGGACACGCTCCAAACGCAAAGATATTCATCCACATGCCCCTCAAGAGGTGAATACTAAAATCCTTCGATAGGCAAGATGAGATTTTTGAATGACTACTATCTTTTGTGCTTCCTAGTCGCTTCCTAGAGGTTGGAAAGGCACATGAAATTGTTTTCCATGAATTGCATATGGCATTGCCATCAGGTTGTCTGTGCATAAACAAAGATGGCATGCTCAATTAATCAGGCTACACAACAAGAAGTAGTATCTCTGCTGGAATTCTCTATTTAGAGTTAAATTTTTAAACTGTATGAAGTTATTTGGACTTAATTGTGATGTTGTAATATGAAAATGTGAAGTTCTGTGATGTCAAGTAGAACCACCAGTAAAAAAGTTTTTGGGTGTTCATGTATAGTCTTAGTTTCACGTGTTATTCCAGTTGCAAAGTTTCACAATGACTTGGTATTCATGGTTGACTTAGTCAGGAAAACAAATATTCTATTGATTCCTCTGAAATAGTCAATCCTCTATAGTTAAATGAGGTTATTTAATGCTTTCACTGTATTGATGTGAAGAGTCATGAGAGCTACAGATTAAAATACCCTGTTATAGATCACCTACTACCAAAGGATCATGTTAAAGTTAGGAGGCTTATATTTTCTGTGACATCACTCTTTAAAACTTCCTCCTCTCAGAAAAATGAGACCATATGATCCATCACTGGTTACAAATTGCATTAACTTCCAAGATCAATATTGTTCTTAGTTATATTGTATTAACTTAATAACTCTAACATGATCCATCGCTGGGTGGTTTATCCTACCTACTATAAGCAAAAGTATTTCCCTTAATCATGTTGGTTAGAGAGGCTAGGGAACATTGTTCAGCTGTGGGAGTGTTGAGAGACTTGTCTTGTGATGATGATGTGTTTTAGAGTTTTTCTCTCATGTTTTATGGGAAAATAATCTGAGATTTATTTGAGATTGTTCTGGATCCTGGTCCAAAACTCTGTAATTCATTCACGATAGGACTCACTGCTCCATCATGCTGGTCTACCGGTTGTGGAGGCTTTCCAGCGTCACGAGCTGACCATGATGCGAATGGACGACCTCGTGAGCCACGGAGTCGGATCGCAGAACCACCGACTGGATTCGGGTCGGGATATCACACCGCAGGATTTGTGCCATCAGCTGATCGACTTTGCAACGCGACTAACCAATGCCAAGCGCCGCATCCTCGAGGACCCGGAACTGTACGAAGAGGAAGGAGCGGAACGGGAAGGGCCAGCAGAGCACCACCTGGAGGACCGGTCGAGACGGAAGAGGGTGTCGGACCGCCTCGCCCAGCTACCCGGGAAGTTGGACCATGCCACCGTGGTCGCTTACCGTGTGGGAGTCTATCACAGTGATATGGAGGAGGAAGAGGAGGATTTCAACGCTCCTCTTGAATCCCCCGTTTGACCCCTCTTCACATCAACCTCTCTTGTCGTTTATTCTGCTCATTCTATGTCATCCTTCCTTCACTCATATACAAGTGAATCAAAGTTCAAAGAGAATAAAGTGTCATTTTTTTAAATAGATACCTTGATTCTGATTTCTTAGGGGAAGAATTCCCTCAAAGCCTGACTTAAAGATTGACTTAAGAAGACTAGAATGTTGACATGAGCATCAGACGCTACGTTTTTCCACGCAGTGCTCATTTCCTGGATCTTCTTATTATTAAACGAGATAGGAGAAGGAGAGTGTTTGTCTAAGACTTGGGCTAAGATGCGAGGATGTAATTCTATTTTGACATCCCGAGTCAAGGTAAGCGCTAATCCTAACTCCGATTTTATTGATAGAGGCCTTTATCCGAACCATCCCTGACGACGGGAAGCGAATGTGGGGGGGATACAGTGCCCTGAGGGACTCCCTCGCGTCTCCGTCTTATCGCAATTCTTCCTCTTTTTAAGTTGGATCATCAGGACATCGAGTAAACGTTACAGTCACTGTCACTGAGTTACTGTTACAGTCGATCCTTCTACGCTGTACGGCTGCTAAGACTATGCAAAAACCACAAGGCAGTAACAGACTTCCTGTACTGCTGTATTATACCCTGCATTCTTTATTGTGGTCCCATCTTTCTTGCACAGGCAAGACAAGTAGACAAACACTACATTAAAACAACCTCCATCTGTGATCTCCAACATCAGTATAACACTCGAAGGAAGAAAACCCACATTCCAGCTGTAAAAAAGCTATATCACGAAACGTTTTTGTGCAAAATCTCAAGAGGGAAGAAGATAACACTCTAATACCCCAGTGCTGGTCACCTGCCATCCTTCCTCATTTGAATTTGTTCTGTGTTCTTTTTCCCTTGTCACACTGACGACCTGAACCCAAGGATGAAATAAATAAACCAATAAACGTTGATATTTCGGCGAAACTTCGACGTGGTGTCGGGATATCATGATGGATGTTGAGAAGTTCATTCATTTTCGCCCGTAATTTTGAAAATGAAGCCACCAGGATATTACTCTGATCATGATCCTTTAATCATTAAGGCCGTTTCACACTTCGTGTTCCTTGCGCTTGACGCGTGCAATGTAGCAATGCATGCAGGAAGCTCGAACTTTTCAAGTTTGCATGTTGGACGTTCGTACCCGCGTCTCCATCGGTGCTGATGGAACACCTGTGCGTCCAGTCACACAGCAATTACATTTCGACGTATTTCCTCTCATAAAACTTGTCCCTTATATGCATGCGTGCGGACGTCCCGAATCGAATTCACCTCAATTCCACACGCAAGCCTTGCTATTCTGTGAAAACTCCTGAATGTAAGCACACGCGTCTGCCTTACTTGCACAGGCATTGAGGTGAAGGACGCAAAACACGCCGTGAAACGCCCTTCAGATAGACAGATACGCAGATAAACATAAGGTCATGGAACTCCAGTCCGTATTGATGGCGCATGTCTTCACCTGATGTCAGGACAGTCGGCTGTCTCAAGCCAGAAATGCATAGGAGTGATAATGATCGCAAGCTCTCTCCACCCTATAATTGATGCACGATGATGACTTGGCGAACCCCATCCCTCTTATGAAACCTGGGCATGGTCCCCAAATTTCCCCGATTGTATCAACCCTTTTCTCCACCGTGTCACGCCTCTCGCAGTGTCCACGGTCGATTACGAATTCGCGATTCAAACCCCCATTTCCATCAAAATACCCTTTGATCAGTTTGTGCAGCAAACGGGCCTGTAGACCTACACGAACCATCCAGCCGTTCCATAACTCATAGAACTCAGAAAAGATTGCCAACCTGCTCAGAAAATGAGTGATCTTTCGCAACCCTGAAAGATATCTTCCTTTCAGTCTTAGAAAACCGGCATCGAGTTCGGTTAATCCATCACCCAAGAGAAATGGAAGAGAAAATACCGGTCAATATGATGACATACGACGACATTCCATTACTATGTGAATTACCTGCTTCAGAAGCCGATTGTGCAAAGGCTTTAAAATGTCACCTTTTATTAATACTCTCCACGTAATAGGCTGACATTCGTTATATTCCCTTAGGTTCAATGACATCATTCCATCTCATTCCACGCAATACATCATTTTTTATTTCTTATAAGTTTTGGCTGTTGACTGCCGTGACGACGACGAAAAGCATGCTGCTCGTGACACAACCTCCCTCAAATGAGAGTATACACGCAATATTAATATGCACTTATTCCAAGAGTTGATGCTAGGACAAAAGATATCTCCAAAAGTAGCTTGACTCGCTAAAAACTCCGCCGAAAGGCCGGAGAGGAACCAGATGTCGGGGGCGGAGTCCCTTCGCCGTGAGTGATGATGCCACGGGAAGGTCTGGAAATAGACTGGTCGTGCGACGCCTTCCCCCAGCGGCATCGCCGAAATAGCTTAGCGACTGCTGCCTTCTGCAGGTGTCGCGTCCATCGCATGCAGCGTCACGCTGACTGCAGTTCATTTCCCTCACTACAGCATTTCCGTTTTCGAGTGCATTCAGGATTCTTGCATTTCAGTCATGCTTTTCGTGCGCTAAGCCTGTGGAACCCTATCTTTTAAAGGCCGATTTCCATCGCCAATGCCCTTCGACGTTCACTTTCCGTCACGAAAACAAGGGGAAAGGCGCCGAAAATTAATTAATTGCCAACTATCTTAAAGCAGGTTGGGAAAAAATGTACTACGAGAAGGGGACCGATGGCCAGGATTTCGTGCAGGGTGAGCGAGGATTTTCGCAGGATTTTCTGAAATTCATGGGGAATTTAGAATCTCCCTAGTGGGAAACATAAATCGATAAACCCGCGGCTTTAGTGGAATCCCTTGAATGTCGCCTGTCAAAACACCCCGGGGAGAGAGGAAATCTCTCTGACCAAGAAATCGTCCTTTCTTCGACTCGACTCGTCCCACCGCGGGGAATTCTCCCGCGCGTGGATGGCTTCCTCGAGTGTGAAGAGTGCCTGCTACGTCGAAGAGGCGAGTCGAGACTGTCGTGGCGTCGACGAAGGAAGTCGTTCGAAGTGTCAGTGCAGGCCTGGCAGATGTTACGACAGGACGAAGGGGCGAAGGAACGTCGTTCGTCGTATGGAAATGAAGCTCCGGCCGCTTTATTTCTCGGTCTCCTTTTCGTCCTCATTCCGCGGCCTCTCCAATTACGATAGCACCGGACGAGCAACTCAGCGGCGTAGCGTCGGGGGGGAAAGGGGGGTTTGAATCGCGAATTCGTAATCGACCGTGGACACTGCGAGAGGCGTGACACGGTGGAGAAAAGGGTTGATACAATCGGGGAAATTTGGGGACCATGCCCAGGTTTCATAAGAGGGATGGGGTACCCCCCCCCCCCCCCCCCCACTTTGTCCTGCCCCCCCCCCCCCCCAATTTTTCCCACCCACGCTACGCTTATGGAACAACTCGTCGAGATGTCTCGATGCGTAACAATGTCTCCGAACGTTATAAGGTCGGGGAAGAAAACACCTTTGTGGGGGATGCTGGATCCGTCTGCAAGCTGTCGCCTTTTCCTCCTATCAGAGTTCCGACTTTTTATTTTTTTATTGCTGCCATTTGATATCGCTTTATTCATCGATGCTTCGATAAAAGATAATATGTAATTTCCCCCGGGTGGCAGGATCTCCGTCGTTTCATCTAGATATTTGTACATCGACGAGAACTCCAACGCCCACGGACTCGAACCCAGCCGTAAATTCTCGACTTTTGGGAATTTATTATCAAAAACAGTTCGCCTGACTCCCCAAAGCGGAGTGGTAAATGTATATTATTCCTCAAAGTGGTAACTTCACCGGACACCCACGTGATTCCCTCAATATGTATGTGCCGATTCAGCCACGTATTAATAATAGCGGACGTTCAACGTGCCCTTAATGCCATGAAACCTCATGGGAAGTGAGAACGATACTCATGAAATTCTGAGGGCGCTCATGCAATTCTGGGGCTCATTTACGGCGATCGGTAGCAGGAAATAAGCGGAAATGTAAGCCATGCCTCTCATTCTGTGCGTGAGATATGAAACCATTTTTACCCTTAATAATGGATGTGGTCCTAGCATATACCGGCAAGATCTTTGAAGCATTTATGCAAATCCAGCTGCTGCCGTGTAAATTCCAGGTGGGACCTGCATGGCTTTTCAGCAGGGGTGCGGAACGCTTGTTACGGTACTCTCTACCCACCTTCGGGATTCCACTTGGAAACAGATACAAGGGCCGACTGGAATTTCTCATAGGGTTGGACCTGAATGGGCCGTTTCGACTCGGGTTCGTGTCCCAGGCTTTCCTTTCAGGTGTCCCCAGAGAAATTTAAATAAATATAAATATAAATCCAGCGACGGTAAGACCGAGGAAAGGAAATATGCGAGAGGAAATGAGCACGAACACAGAGAGAGATAGATAGAGAGATGGGGGTTTGAATCGCGAATTCGTAATCGACCGTGGACACTGCGAGAGGCGTGACACGGTGGAGAAAAGGGTTGATACAATCGGGGAAATTTGGGGACCATGCCCAGGTTTCATAAGAGGGATGGGAGGGGGGGGGGGGGGGGGGGGGGGGGGGGAAGAGAAAGAGAGAGACAGTGACGAGCAAAGAATGAATTCGTTTCTTGGTCACAGACTGAAAAGCGTGGGTCCGGGATTCCTTCCTATAGAGATCTACGAGTAGAGGACGGGCGAAGTGACAAAGAAAGCATGTGACCGAGAGGGGAAACTCTTTCTTCCTGCTGCTTCGAGGGGGAGAAATCCAAGGAGGGGTCGGGAGGGTCTGGTCTACGACCTCTCGAGCACGGATGGAAAACGGAGGCGTCGAGGGGAGAATCCGTCCGATGTTTGCAATTGCGACCCCCTTCACCTCCTCCACCTCCTCCTCCGCCTCCTCCACCTCCTCCGCCTCCTCCTCCACCTCCTCCTCCTCTGCTGTCTGCCGTCTGCGTTCCCACAAATTACGTCTACGTTGCTCAAATCTTCCATTTGTTCTGTATCGTTCTCTTGGAGATAATGGTATCAGCATATTTCGTGTTTGAAGGTGGCATTTTTACAGCGAGCGATATTATGACCGGGTACGGGGAAGCAGA